CCATTCTATACTCAGAGGTCTAAGCTCAAGAATAAATTCCTACATTTTGTGAAATACCTTTAGTTCATTTATTTTAGGTATTAAAAATTGAAATATACAATGCAACTTTAAATGTTTTAATTTATAAATTATCTTCTAAATTTTTATTTTTAGTTTCAAATAAACTGTTTATAGACACATCTCATTGTGCCACTGCATGAGATTCTTCTTACTATTAAATTATTGAACTTTGTGGTGGAATTTTAAAGCTTTGACTCTAGTATAATTACAAACATGTTATCCCAAAAAAGGAAGAAAGCAAGAGAGAACAGAGTAAGTAGGCAGAAAGGGAGGAGCAAGAGAGACAGAGATAGAAATAAGCATAGGAAGGAAGGGAACATATTTATATTAGAATGGTATCTGTTAAAATAATAACTTTACAAATCCATTAATATCATTATGCTAGCTATGGTCATTATTAAAGGATAATTACAACATATTTTACAGCACATATTTGTTAATTAAAAAAAACCTTCACTTGGTTGTTCCAATAATCAAACTAATTAATATTTATCATTAAATAATGATGAATTTTCAGACAAATAATTCAGAATTGCATTCAGCAAACATTTATCTGTCTAGCTTACTTGAGTACTAAAACCACAAAGAATGAATGGTATTGCAACACAGAATATAACATACTGCTTTAAAGGTACTGTGCCACTGACAGTGAATGTCTAGCCAGCATAACTGATTCTTCATTTTTGTTTGTAGTCTCTGAGTCTTCCTCTATATCTATCACTTTACCTTTAAATTAACTAAATCTTCTGCTAGAACTTATAAGTGATAAGCTTATAAAATTTTTATATCTCATTTGTATATATCAATAATGATCTGACTGAAAGCAAAATCAAGGAAGCAATAACATTTGAAATGTTTACAAAAAAATATGTGAGTAAGAGAACAAATAAGTGAATGCTTGCTACAATGAGAATTATGAATCAACAATGAACAAAATTAACAAGGACACACTCAAAATGCAAAGATGTTCCTTGTCCACAGAGTACCAGTACTGATAGCATTAACATGTCCATACTACATCGATATACAGATTTAAACTAATACCTAGCAAAATGCCAATGACACTCTTTACACTTTAGGAAAAAATTGATAGAATTCATATAAAAACAGAAGGGTGGGGTTTGGAATCATAACAATATCTAATTATAGCATGCTACAAAGCTATATTAACTTAAAAATCCATGGTAACTGCACAACAGCTGACATAGAATAGAAACGTAAGTGCACATTTGCACAGCCAATTACATTTGAAAAGGTTGCCAACACTGTATATTGGAGAAAATAGAGAATTTTCATCAAATGATGCTGGCAAATCGGAATATAAAATGAAATTCAATCTTTGCCTCTTATCACCTACAGAAATCAACTCAAATGGATCAAAGACTTAAACATAGAACATGAAACTAACTCACTATTAGGAAAACATAGTGAAAGCACTTTAAGACAGTGGTGTGGGCAAGGCTTTTCCTGAATATGCTTCAAAAATGGCACAACAAAACCCAAATATGACAGATGGGGTTTTATCAGACTAAGACACTTCCGAATATCAACAGAAACAATCAACACTGCCAAGAGACTTCTCACAGACTTGGAGAAAATAGTCCCAAGTTATTATCTAAGAAGGAATAAATGAATTACTATCTAATCTGTTCAGAAATTAAATACAAAACACACAGACAAAACATTCAACAAGAAGGAAACAAAATGCAAACAGAGGAATGGACTAAGGACCTGAATAGGCAGTTCTCAGAGGAGACACATAAATGGCCAACAAATATATGAAAAACTAGTCATCCTCACTTCTCATCAGGTGGCTTCATGCCTGTCAGAATGGCTGTTAATCTAAAAGACACAAAGTAACAAAGGTTGACAAAGACATGCAGAAAAGGGAACTCACCCTGGGGACTTATGTTAGTATAGCCTCTATTGAAAACATTGTGGAGATTTTGAAGTAGCAAAAGAAAGACGAAATGTTGCAACAGCCTCACCTCTGAGTATGGGGCAAAATGCATGAGCTCACTGCATCAGTTACTTGTTCACATATGCTACAGTTCTATCCACACCAGCTAAGATTCAGGTTCAATCAAGGTGTCTACCATCAGATAAATAAAGAAAATGTGGCATGTAAATATACACAATAGAACATCATTCTGCCACAGAAAAATATTTCTTGTGATTTGCAGCAAAATGGATGGCTCTTACAACAGGTCATTCTATGTGCAGTAATCCAGGTAAAGAAAGACCAATACTGCATGTCCTCAGATTGAAAGCTAAAACTGCTCGATTTCCACACACACTGGTGATGAGTGGAGTCTTGGAGTGGTAGAGGGATATACAAGGAGTTTGGAGAATACATAACAATCAGAGTTAGACTGAAGAATACATTGCTAGTGTTACACAGCACAGAAGGGTCACAATAGCCTTTTAGAAATTCTGAACAAATTGAGGAAAGATAGTCCAGGATTCCAATCTTAAATTAATATCAAAGGAGGGAAAATTCTGATTAAACTATTTTGATTGATAGGCATTATAAACATGTACTAAAATATCACACCACAGAAAATAAATAAGTACAATTGTTGCTCATAAAAATTTAAAAATGCATTTAAAACTATAGACTTCACTTTATGTTTCACATTTCTACACAGCTAACCACTCTTCTGAGTTTGATATATATTCTCTCTTCACACATGTAAATTTTATTAAAGGCATTTCTCAGCATAGCTTTTACATAAGCAATTGTACCTTATATATTTTAATTTATATGCATGCCATATGCACACAATTAAAATTGATATTCCATGTACAGTTAGTGCTGTCACTCAGTGTCTGTGTGTTTTCTATGCATATATGCAGGCATTCCCTTGGACACAGCTACTATGACTTCAGTTTCATCCTTATAGACTATTATGAGTGGAGAACAGGCTGCTGGAATGCAACATTATTTACCGTGCTTCTTTCAGGGATTAAAGGTTACCATTCCTAGTCATTATTTTAGATGGAACCACTCAGGCTCAGAAGTTTAAGAGGAAAAGTTATGAAAACACAACAAAAAGTCTGCTTGTTCCTCTGTGTGTCTGCAGTTACATAATATACTTCATTTTCAGAAACTTATATATTTAAATCTCAAAGATAAGAGTTTTTTTGTTTCCTATAATTGCATCAGTTCTCAAAATTGGTACATGTGTTCAGGCAAATAACTTCAAGCTTCTTTACAGCTATATAACCATCTGTTTCTCACACTGGCTACAGTATAGCTAAAGTATTCATTTGTGTGTCTAAAAGAGTTAAAAAGTTGCATGTGAACCCTTTTAAAAGTGCTAACACATTTGACAGAAATAGCCTAAGTATGAATTTTAACAATGATTATACATTCAAGCCACTCACAACACATTTCAAACATAATTGTTAATTAAATTGGAAAATCCCAGATGTAACAACCTTACATGAAGTTATCATTTTGTTTCAGCAACAATATGATTCCTTTTGCTATGCACTTTCAGAAATGTATCTTCATTGGTTAAATAGTTTGAATTTAACACACCTTTCAAGCTTATCTTAATTTGTTATTGTAAATATTTTTACAACAAAATTTTAAAACATATTTATTTGAACATAAGAATCCCATTTAAATTATAAGCATGGGAATAACTATATCTATATCTAAATCTATATCTAAATATCTATATAATATAGATATTAACAGATAAAACTAATGTTCTCCCAAATTACTTAACTTTTTTGAGATACAGGGTAATATGAACTTATTTTTACATGTCACATGTATAATTGCACTAAATATAATAGGATATAGGTTAAATGAAAAAATGTAAGTCAATGTTAAACACAATTTGGTATACACAAGCAGGTATAGGGACATACTCCTGTAAGTACAATAATTAGAGAAGAGACCATTCTAAAATCAGAGAGAAAATAAACCTTTGCATTGCTGATATGAAAGCTTTTATGTTTGTATGTACACTCTGATACTATTGCTATGACAATTTGGAGATGCTGAGGGATCAATGCGGTGGGCAGAAGCTATCATAGTTGGTCATTTAGTGACTTGGCTGTTGAAAACATTTCCCCAGATGTATATAAAAAGGCTATTAACCGTCTTTGGCAAAACATACGTACACCATTGTTTCCTGCATGCGATTTCAAGAAAAGTGTTACCATAAAATAGCATATCCAAGCAACATAATCAAATATTTTGGGGGATGAAAATGCGGTGCTAATCAGAAAATTGCACACAGTGTATGGTCTTCAACTTTTCTCTGCTGTATGAAAAATTACTTGAATGCAGCTGTGGCGAATCTGCCAAATATGGCATCTAAATAATGATGAATCTTCCATAGTTACTAAATTGTGGGGCTGTTTATTCCTACATGATACAGTAGTATAAAGAAAAACAAATTTAAAAGGCCTGTTATACTCCATACTCATGCATATTTTTCTATTGATATTTCAGAAAATGTTCATTAACACAAGGACAAATATAATTTGGCATGTTTTGATAGACTTACTGATAGAAGATGATCTCAAACACTGCATTTCTTTTTGTAACTGTCTCTGGGACATATTTTTCATTTTTCCTAGTTTAAAAATTCTCTACCTCGTAGCCATCACAGCAGTTCTCATAAGCATGCATATTAGCTCAAATTTCCTTTAAAATTTGCCCAAGAGCACATTACGTGTACATTTTTTGCTTAAAGGGATAGTTCTGAATAAATTCAGTATAATTTATTTGTACATATGGCTCAATTTTAAATACAAGCTACTCACAGATCATAACACATTAACATCAAACTGACTTAGAACGCCTATTTGCAAGCTGCTCCAGAGTGTATGAGAATAAAGTAAGACGGACTGAGTCCATTCCACATTAAGGCAAAGCAGGGATAAAGCACTTAACAGTAAAGCTAGGCATTCATGTTCACCTTCATTGTCCTTAAGTGTGAAGTTGGGGTTCACTGGCAGGTGCTCGTCAAGAAAGAAGTTAAACCTTGGTCCATTGGCAAAGTCATCCTTATCAGTGGCACTGATAGTATGAATAACCTGGGAAAAAGACAAATACTAAATAATAAATTCAATGTAGGCTTATTTCCTTGTCATTATGCTATATCATTTTCAATTGTGAAAAAGACTCTCAAGGAACCCCTTCTCATTCAAGTATTTAAAACTTAGCTTGAAAGTACCAACTAACTTCTTATTTTTTGCAATAGATAGAGTTTAGGGAAATACTTGTCACAGTTTTAAAACATTTACACTTAATTTTCTATCACAGTACAAACATCTAAATTTTCCAATTGATCACCCACAGTACTGTGGAGGCCAATCAGTTGCAATATTCTGTATGAAAAGCTGTTTGAGAGGGAATGAAATATGATTTGCACAAATATGAGCACTCCAGTGTTGGTGTAGAGAACACGGTACTTAGTCACTCAATTCAGATGGAATGGAGGCCTATGTGTGTGCTTTTAAAACTATTTATATTTTATTTTTTAGCAGAGTTTTGAAATCATGATGCAGTCCTTGTATTAAAAAAAATGTGGAAGCTGAATCAGGAGAATTTCTGAGGTGCTCAGGTCTCTGAAATAGTGACAGAGCAAGATAAGCTGATTTGGTGTTTTATGGATCATTATTCATCTCCAGTGATCCAAGGAAAGAAATATCAACATCTGGATTTGGCATATTTAAGTAACAAAGTAACTTCAAATCTGTAAATAAAACAAGGCAGGTGATTCCGAGCAGAAAGCAAACTATGATATCTAGGTCCACTGTACTGTCAAGAAATGAATACTCAAGCAATAGGCAAAGTGGTATTTTAATCACTAAAATTAGTTTGCTATGGCAAGTGTATAGCACAGTGAATTAAATCATTGCTTGCAACACTGGAATGTCATATTGGCATTACTTTGAATCCCGGGTGGTTTCCTTCCAGCCAGACTCCCTGGTAATACACCTAGGAGCCAAGCAGATGATCCAGGTACTTGCTCTCCTTGTAGGAGTTCTGAGTGGAATTCCTGCTTTCTGGCTGTTATTCAGCTCAGCCACAGAATTTGTGGTCATTTTGGAAATGACCTGTAACTCTGCTTTTCAACTAAATCATTTAAAGAATTCTTATACCAATATTAAGACGTTTTCTTAAAACACTTTCTTGTCTCCATTGTGGGATACAAGGCCCGCAACTACAACACTGGTCTAGCTCCGCTAATGGCTCCCTGTTAAAAGCCATGGCACCTATGCGGAAACCTGGAATGAAGCTACCTGCTTCCAGCTTTGACTTGATTTAGGACAGGCTGTTGCGGCCATCTGGAGATTAAAGCTGAAGAGGCCGATCTCTCTCTGTGTCTCCTTTTCCCTCTGTTACTGATTTTCAAATAAGTGTTGACAAAATAACATTACCAACAACAAAATCTCTCTGTAGCTCTGCCTTTCAAATACATATTTTTAAATAGTATCCTAATATTAAAATCCCCTCTTTAAATTCCTTTGTTAGAAAAATTAAAAACCAAACGAGGGAATAAAGAGCCAGAAGCATAATATATCCAGATTCAATTGTTGAACATATAGTGTGGACAACGCATTGGAAGATAAAAATTCTATGAAAGTTTTACTCAGTTTCAGGATGTTTTAAGAGACAGCTCGATTATTGGTATCACAGGTAAAACCCCTTTTGCATATAACACTTCCATTGTTTGAGAGTTGAGCTGTTTCCATTGGTAAAACACTCTTTCAGGACACTGTTTGGGTTTCTGACAAGGCTGGCAGGAAGGCCGAGTACTTGGGTCATTTTGTGCTGCTTTCCCAGACATGTTAGCAAGAAGCTACACTGGAAACAGATCAGCCAAACGTGCATGAGCACTCGAATTTGGGCCCCTGGAATGGTAAATTACCAACAGCTTATTTACTTCAGCATAGCACCGGCACCTTGGCAGACTCATAAGATACTTATATAATTATGTTCATTGCTTTGTGTAATTTGTTCTAAAGTATCTTTTCTGCTATTAATTGTACAACTTCAAATCTGAATTTACCAGGGACATCACACATAATAATGCATTTGTTTTCCTTAGTCAGTAAACTCCCAGGCTTATCTACATGATTAATAGTGTGGTGATTATCATATAATGTTTGAAAGTAACCTATTAACTTGTAGAGTTGCTGGTCATGCTGTAGTTATGGTTAGATTTAATTTGTGATATTTATGGGGTTATTATATTCATAAAATATTTATGAAAATTATTCCCACAACTCTATCATGAGAGTCTGCCTTTTTTTTGAATTCTTAAGCTGTAATGATATATTCAATTTTTAATTATATTTTTTATTGGGAAATAACATTTTACTTCCATTGCTCTTTATATTATCACTAGAAAATATAATTGGGCAGATAAAATAGATAGAAATTTGTATTTCTAGCAGACATATAGGTGTTTCTAGCAGATATGCAGCATTGTTACACTTCTATCATCATTATTTTCTGTCATGTTGGTCAGTCCTATGATTGATATACACTATATTACCTGCATTTTCTATGAAAAAGGTTGATAATGTCACAATTGCTTGTTTGATTCCCATTTTTCTATTGAATTAATTAACAAATAAGTAGTTGTCTAATCTAATTAACAAATAAGTAGTTGACTACGTTGAAAGTTATGATAATAATCTGAGACTGTTTCAGAAAGCTTACTAGAAATTGTGCTAAGTGAGGATCTTTGTAGCACAACAGGTTTAGTTGCCAGTTGAAATGCCCACATAAATTACTGAAGTGTCTGAGACTGAATCCCTCATCGCACACAACCTAGTTCCTTGAAAAGACACCTGGAAGTTCACAGATGGATGGCCAAAGATTTGGGTTCCAACTACCTATATGGGGAGATCTGTGTTGGTTTGAGTTCCTAGCTTTTGGCAGGCCGATAGCTGCAAGAACTTGGGAAATTAACTAACCAGCAGAGACGATCTCTGTTTCTCTATCTCTTCCTCTCTGTCATACTGCATTGAAAATAAACAAATCTGTCAAAACTGAAATGAAAGACCTGTTTATATTGATTTATTTGAAACCTATGCATAGTTTTTCCTTCATATGCTTTTTCACATTTTTGTCTACTCTAAGGCACAAATTTCTCCTTGCAAAAGGATTGGAGAATAAATTATTGGATGATATTTTAAAATAAATACAAGGATTTGTTTTACAATATCCACAATTAATGGATACCCTAAATTTTAATAAAGATAAATAAATATATCTATGTTCCCAGTTTGCTTTCTAAAACCTATTATTGCTATGTTACTTTATTCAGAAAACAAATCAGTCCAAATATCATGCTTCTTTGGAGTAAAACAGCTTGTTTAGTCATCTTCATTAATAAATATCTGATGATTTAAAAATATTTATCAGTAAGTCAGCTTCACAATATTATATTAAATAGCTTATGTATACATTCAATTAAAAACTTTGTTAGCTTTTATGTGTTAAACAAATTGCCTTTTGAAACAGGGTAAATAGCCACTTATCTGTTAATTTTTTTCATACAAAGATTTGAAATGATAAGGGCACAGGTTAATTTCTTGCCATGAGATCATTCTTTTACTATACGCTATGTTTTCCAAGTTTACTTCTAGTGAAAACGAAAAGCAGAACACAGGAAAAGTCCATGTAAATAAGGAAGCCCTCCCTTTATATTTTAAGATTGCTGGTTTGGCACATCTAAATTCTTTTAAATTCACACTACTTTGGGAATGATTTCAAATTTCATGCATGAATGACTTTCTTTTTCATAGTTTTTCAGGTCAAATGCTTAGGAGACTTTTCCTGAGCAGCAAAAAGTATTGACTCAGAGAACTCCATTATTGCGCTTTACAGCGATACCCGAATTGACCTGACTTCATTGTTCTATGTGGTTTAAACTTTCATAAAAGGCCAATCTCTTTGCCATAGCAACATACTGATGCATTTAGATACACAGTTTCTGTGATAGAAATATATGTAATTCAGAAAGCAATTGTCACAGAAGGCAGGGCTGTTGTGCAGCTGAGCAATACAAATATGTTTCAGAAAAATCATTGCACAAATTATTGTTTATAAATGGAGGTCTACATCGCAACACTACCTCCAAACAAAATAGTTTTCTCCAGAAATCCCATTGCTGTAAAAGAGCCAATGACTGCAAAATAGAAAGAATCAAAATGTTGTTCTCTCTAACACTTCAATCACATAAACAGATCTATTTGTACTGATTTATTTTAACGTGCATGCCCAAAACAATAAACAGCAGCATTAATTTTTGTTGTTCCATAAAAGTTTAAATTCATTAGGGTAAGAACACTGGAAATCACTCCTCAAGAAATGACAACATCTGACCAGTCTTCTTACTGTTACAACTAATACCATACAGAACTAAAGATACCAATAAAATCTAAATATACACATGATTTTAAAGAATCATAAGTATTCACAGTTTAGTTAATTTCCTAGAATTGAATTTTTTGATAACTTTAGAAAATCAGGAATGGAAGAATGCTGAATGAAAAAACACTATGTGGTGAAACGAACAAAAATTATGCACATTGCCTCATATGTGCCCTCTTCAAAAGTAGCATGTTGTCACACAAAAAGGAAACATCTAAGTTACACTTCAAGGAATCTGTGACTTATCATGTAGTCATAAAGTCTCATCCTTGGTTAGACATGGAAACTTAGAGTGCAGTATTCATTCTACTGATGTTGGAAGCACCTGTCCATGCTCCATAAAACCCTTTGGGAGTTCTACAAACTTCAGAGGTCAATGCACAAGATGAAACAAAGGACTCAGCTTTTGTGCACAGGCTCTGATGACCATGACCAATGGAGAGTATGAGACTTCCACACAAAGCAGAAGGAGATGGTATCAGATATCAACACAAAAAGTTGAGGTCACAAATTAAAAAAAAAATCATAGCAGCATTTCAAATTCAGGATCAGATATAAATAATATGAGGAAAAGCACCAACTGGGTCAAGAGCAGGCACAAGGTATTTTTTTTTCCTTACATTTTCAGCATCCCACAAAAGGGGCTAAGACAGAAAAAGTTTGTGTTGCATGTATTGTGAAAATATTTCATGAAAGTGTATTCTTACAGTTAGACATGAGCTTGATATTTTAAAATACTAATTGTTCATTGAATTAAATGTAGTGCTTCACTCCATTTGCTTTAAATCTTCATCAGCCATAGTTAAGGATACATACTACTGTAGTTTGAATCTTTCACTATTTTGAAATTTTTATGAGTGAAGTTGAATATCCATGCAGTTAATTACTATTTACAGCTCTGGCTGAATTACTATCTTTTTACTTGTTATACTCTATTAAGTGGAACATTAAGCCTCTGACTATAAAATAGATTAAAAATGTTATCTCAAAAATTTAAAATGGTCCAGTGTGGTGGCATAGTGCCTGAAGTCCTCGCCCTGCAAGCGCTAGGATCCCATATGGGCACCAGCTCTAAATCTGCTTCCCATCCAACTAGAGAAGGCTTTTATCCTGGGAAGGCAATAGAGGATGGCCCAAAATCTTGGGACTCTACATCCACATGAGAGATCTGGAAGAGGCTCCTGGCTCCTGGTTTCGGATTGGCTCAACTCCAGCCATTGTGGCCACTTGGGGAGTAAATCAACAGATGGAAGATCTTCCTCTTTGTCTTTCCTCTTCTCTGTATATCTCAATTTCCAATAAAAAAAAATAAATCCTTAAAACATGAAAAAGAATAATACTTTTCAAAGTAAAAGTAAACTTATACATCTTTCATTATAAATATGTAATGCCTAATGATGTTTGATATAACATCAACATATGCATGAGCACTTATATCACATGTAAATGATGCAATTTGCCTAGAATTAAAAGAGATTAATTAAGGAAGGGGAAAACCACTTGAAATTTGCTTACATTACTTACATTACTACCTTACATTACTACCTATGGTATTTACTACATTACTACCTTACATTACTACCTATGGTATTACTTACATTACTACCTTACATTACTACCTATGGTATTTACTACATTACTACCTATTGTATTTACTACTAATACCATGCATTTTTAAGATCTTATTACGTTTGATGTTCTGAAGAGTTGTCTTGACGTACATAGATGAATTTATCATTGTAGGCAGGCAGCTTAGTTGGTTGTTATGGCCCACACCCTGCAGGCTTCTTCAGCCTTTGTTTTGATGTTTTCAATCAGTTTTAGAAAGGATTCTAAGCCATGATCATCTCAAAACCATTATGTGACATCTGTTCTATTTAATTAATTAAAAACATACTTGTGTCTCATTGCCTTTCTCAGTGTCCCTGGAACTGATACATTTTATATCAGCCTAATATTATTCATAAATCAACCATATTCTTATCTTTAAATGTTTATTTAATTTAGAGACACAGAGATGTGTATTTTCTATTCACTGGCTTATTCACTAATGATATGCATTGGTCAAGGTTGGGCCAGGCCAAAGCTAGAAGACTAGAACTGATTCTGCGTTTCTCTCATGGGTGGAATAAACCCAGATAATTAGGTTATAACCTGTTGTCTTGAGGTACATGTGAGCTTGAAGCTGGAATAAGATAGCCGGGACTGGAAGCTAGACATTTCAACGAGGAATGTGTATGTATCACAAAACATTTCACTGCTGAGCCAGATGACTGACCTACATATTTCTAGAAGTATTTGATATTTTTCATTTCATAGTTCAACACAACTATTTTAGCAAGATACGTTTTTTTTAGTTCTCTTATTTTATGGTATTTCTAATATGTTGTTACTAAGAATTTAGAAATTATTTCCAAATACTGTTATTTAAACATCTAAACGTAATAGAATGCTTAATTATACTTTTATATATGTTAAGAACATAATAAGGTACATGCTTCTATATTTGATATTGTTAAAATGAAAATTTTAAAGTATGTTTGCTTAAATTTATACAGGCTTTCCATACATGAAAGATACACACATATATGTTTGTTGTCCATACTACTGGGTAAAACTGGGTGAAACTCCTCTGGGTCTGAGTGCTGGCAGATTCACGAATTGCATTTTGCTCAAATCAATAGTTCTATATATTGTGTCCAAAGGCGTACACTTAACTGCAATGAATATGATTAAAATAAAAGAGAAAGCTATTACACACACAAAAAAACATGTCAGACATATTCCTGGGATGCTAGGTTATACACGGGACTCATGTTCTATATTCAAGCTTTTCTTCATGGGTTCTTCCCAGACCAGACATGTGGGAGTCCTTCCAAAACTCATAGAAGATTTCAATTATGAAAGAGCTACACACACATTTCATGTTATAACATCCATCTTTTAACACCAACATCAATCACACTTCACTGTCTCAATTCAAACCTCCAGATTACCAAGTGAGTCCCTCCTCCCCTGTGTAACATGCAAGCTCCATTGAGCAAAGGAATTTACTGCTTTCTCCTCACTTAGGCAAGGCTGTGGGTAAGGCATTCAACACAGCAAGACTAGCATGGAGGATGTATCATGCGTAATAAGCTTATTTGTCATAACTGCATTTGGGATGCAGTGAAAAATTCATCTTGTGTAGTGCTCAAAAATCTATTTTGCACGTAAAGCTTTACAAAATTATTATCAGAGTACAAAAAAATTATACTGGATAGTTTGGGGGATTATACCTAAGCAAAATAGAAATACAGCTGCTTGTTTTTCTTCCAAGGGATAGGAAGGAAACAATTAACTTACCTGGCCAGGCTTAGCATTTTCACAGACAACAATATCATATTCCCTGGCAAGTTCAGGTGGATTGTCATTGACATCCAAAACTCTAATACCCACTGTGACATGGCTCAGCAACCCAGGATTGTCTGCAAAACACATGGGAAAGTATTCAGTGTTTCCATGCACACTGTAGACGCCTGGTTTAAAACAAATCTCCTTAATACAGGAGCTTGTCACCAGCTCCATATGCTGTAACAGGACTTTTGGCAAAAGACAACTTTATGAAGGCACCCTTCACTAGAATTCATTAACTAACAGAAAAATGAAAAATGAACACCAAGGTATGACATGAATGCTAAAATGATGTTTTGTCATATCAAGGAAATTGCATGTTATTCAAGAACTGGAGTGGGAGACACTTGTCAGAATTCATTGTGTACTGTCAGAGTGTATGGCATGAACAATTTATTTCATCATTAATCTGAGAAAAGCAGAACATCCAATAAAAAAAAAATCACACAATGTTTAAAAAGCTCAAGGTCTCAAATCTAAATAAACTCAGAGAAAATAGAAAGTAAACTTCTTTACACAAAGAGTCATTTTTGTCTTATATGAAAATATATGCAGTGTGTGAGACTAAGTCACACTTGGAAAATAAAGAAAAATGTAAATCAGAATTTAGCAGGGAATTTACATAAGACTCTGAAAGAGATCAAAATATTATATTCAATAGCTTCAAATGTGCTTTAAACTCAGTCTTCTCATTTTTTCAGTAAGTTCATTAATTCTGAGATGTAAGAAAAAAGTCACAGCATTTGCTTTACATGTCAAGTCTACAGACTCAGAATAAGTAATAAGAAACTAAATTTCTCTCTCTTTCCCTCCCTCCCGCCACCTCCACCTCTCCTCTCTTGTTCGTCACGTGTATATGTCATCCTCTGAAAACATCCTAAAGAGAGCAAAATAATGTTACACTAATTTTAAGCTGACTAGGAGCGAATTCCATGAAAAGACATAAAAATTAGTGAATCCTGGGACTGAGCAAAATAATACCGGAACTCACTCAGGTCTATTAAAGTGGCAATAGTGGCTCTTCAGTTCTGTTGTCTAGAATTAAGTCTCCTTCTTCATACTTCATTTTACAATCAGTGAACACCAGTAACTGTTTCCAGAATTATCTTACACATCAATTTATTTGCTTCTATAACACATTATTTAGTTTTCACGTTTTTAGCGTTTAAAAAAATGTTACCATGCGTGGATGCCCTTATCTGCCATATCATAGAAAAAGTCTCACTACACGTTTTTTCCTAAGGCTTTTCCTTATGGTGACTATATGGTTAGTAAATTACTTTCTGCATGATAGAAATATACCAGAGTTATTGTATCTGTTTGATTTTTGGCTATATTTTTATGTTGGTCCCATTAGCTGGTGATAAATGAATTCTAGAGCTTTCCCATAAAGATAAGGTGGGGAAATTACCGAATCTTTGGCATAAAAATTTAGAACTGCACCCATAAGTGGTCGTCGATTACGTAATTTACAGGAATTTTTCATTGATCTATATTAAATGTTCCACTTTCAAAATTTATAGTTTCCTAATAATGTTTCAATCTCCCTTGTTTTAAATTATATCTTATTTTGATTAACCTAATTTCTTTAAATACTATTATTTAAAAATATTTTACTTCTTATTTGTTTTGGTCTTCTCTCACTGTTATTATACAAAGTGTATATATTATTTATACTAGAGTTTGTTCTGAAAGTTAAATGCTTATGATTGAATCAGCATGACACACATTTTGTTTTCATATCTTTTTTGAAAAAAATGTCACCACTTGTGGAATGAACCAGCAGATGGAAAATTTTTCCTTTTGTATCTCCTTCTCTCTGTATATCTGCATTTCCAATAAAAATTTAAAAACATATATGTATATATTCAAAAAGATTTAAAATGTACATTTTTGGGCAGAAAAGGGTAAGGAAATGTTTAAACAGATGGAGAAACATTAGCCAGTGTGAAGCAGAGAGAGCACATTCCAGGAAATAGGAGAGGACAGAACCGCAGCAGAGGGCCACCTGGACACTGGCAGACACAGCAAAGCAGCGGACACAACGCTGTGGTGTTGCAGTGACTGATACCCAGCGGCATTCGGAGAACTGTGATCTGAACTCCACAAGCAGCAAGATGGGAAGGAGAGCTCACCGGCAGCTCAGGAGATGAACTCAGACAAAGAACTGCTCTTCCTGCTGGTCTGTTTGATTCGCTCAGGAGCACAGACAAAGCAGCAGGTCCCAGACTGGCAGTGCAGGAACACGGTGGGTTTCACGTCCTAGTTTGCCTCCTTAGTGTTGAATAAAGCACCATTTTGCTTAAGGAGGCAAAGGCTGTGGGACAGGACCACACATGCAGTGAGATGGGAGTGAACTCACTTCTGGCTCATGAACCGCAACAATGTGGCATCCTACAGGTTCCATGCAAGATAGGTCCAGGTAGCCCTAAGACCTGACAGTCAGCAGATCAAGAACTCTAGTAGTGGCACTTCAGGTGCCACTTCTACAGTTCGGCAAAGGCTTTAAGACTGCAGGGACAACAATGAACTGTGCATGTGCTGAGCTGGGAATGAACACACTGAGCTTAGTGTATCGCAGTAGCTGCACAGGGAAAATAATCCTGATTTCGGCATCATACGGGTCAAAATAGGTTTGTGTGGTTCTCAGACCTAATGGCCAACAGGTTCTGGCAAGATCAGCACCACCAGAAACCTAGCTGTATAGCACGCCTGGTATCTCCCTAATCCTAGGAACTGCTCTAACTGGAAGTGGGAGAAAGTTGGTATAGGCAACAGTACAGCCTCAACATGGTATCACAGGAAGTGGAGAGTGGCGAGGCAAGAGCTGGGGCTACCAAGGCCATGGCAGAAATCTAACATTAAATCCAAACCTGGAAGTCACTCGAGGGAGTGGCAGAAATGACTACAAGCAAAGAGCCATGTACCAACTGCAATAAGTAAAATCAAACTGTGGGTAACACAGCTTAGAAACCTGCCCCAAGGAGAACATGATCAACAGAAGTACAATTACCAAGGGCAAAAGAAGAGACAGAGACACAGTGAATATTACCAAAGACTCCCCTGCAAAGCAGCAAAAGCCTTTGCCAACATCAGAGTTAACTGGGCAAGACATCAAGAAAGTGGGGGATATGAAATGCAAAATAATTGTTATAAAGATTCAACAATGAGAAGCACACAAAGCAGGCACTCAAGGAATAGAGAGCAAATATCACACTGGAAATGAATAAAATGAAAGCTGATTTGTCAGAAATGAAGAATGCAGTGGAGCAAATTAAAAGTACAGTGGAGAGTCTCCAAAATAAAATCAAGAAGGCAGAAGGAAGAATACCAAAATTAGAAGATATTTCCTATCACCAGGGGAAAACAAACAAAAAGCTGACCTGTGTGGCCTGGGAAAGGGGTTGAAGACGGCACAAAACCTTGGGCCCCTGCAATCACATGGGAAACCAGGAAGAATCTCCTGGCTCCTGGCTTCGGATTGGCTCAGCACAGCCATTGCGGCCACATGGAAATTGAATCAGAGGATGGAAGATCTTCCTCTCTGTATCTCCTTCTCCCTGTATATCTGCTTTTCTAATAAACATAAATAAATCTTTTTAAAAAATCATAAAAATATTCCTAAAAGACACTAGCATTATGATAAAATGATTTTTTTTTTTGGTTAAGGCAAATCAGATACCATGGAAATTATTTCCCAATATAAACATCTTTGTTTGACTCTGTTTGAATCTCCTGCTCTTCGGGGTTGATTCCATCATAGTTATAATAATCACACATACTGACTAGAAAATGAACCCCTAATTTGAATTATTCCTTTTTAGAAAGAACGTGAAGCAACCTCATCAAGAGTACAATGTATCAAAGTTTCAGATTCATGTAAAATGTTGTTAGATTTTACACTTACAGATTTGTTTTCTTTAATGGTAGTATGTTTTTTTTTAAGAAGTTATAGTTACCAAGTTTTACAAGAAATGGTTTCCATGTAGATTATACTCCAGCTCCATTATGCTCTGGTGGGTGTCTGGGCTATGAAATCCACCATTTCTGCATCACCTGTTTGGGATCTGCTGTGTTTTACTTGCTCCTGATCAAATCAAACCAATCAGCAGGATGGTCAGCTTTTTGCCTGGGTTCACCTGCTGAGCTCCCTGTGGATTCTCTTTCCCACCTGGCTGCTGGTGGAGCTCCAGCCAGTGGTTGAGCTCAGACTGCCACTTTCTGACAACAGCTGAGGTGGCTGGCCACTGCAACACCACGCCATTTTCTCACTGCTTCCCTGTGTATGTCAGTCTCCAGGAGCCTCTGTACTGCTGGCCTGTCCTCTCTTATTTCCTGCAATCTGCTCTCTGCTTCACGCTAATGATTCTTCATCTTTATTCTGCCATCTTGATATCTCAGGCATACCATTCTTTGTGTAATATTAAATATAGTATAGAATGCCTTGAGAATCTGTCAGCCTTGAAAAAAATAACTGAAAAAAATTTAATTTGTTCAGTAAGGAGCTATTGATACTAGATTAGACTGACACCCCATAAATTGACATAAACTTGAAGGAAACATATAAAGTACTACTCTCACAAATTAGAGAACAGAGAGTACAAAATTACTTCCTGAAAGAAAAGATACATAAATGAGTCCCACAATTCTCTTGAGTTTAGCAGTGCATCCATCATTAGTAAGTGGAGAATATCACAGAAATGAAAGTCTATTGTTTCCCATTTAAAAATCAATGAGTATATAGATGATCTTTAATTTACAACAGTTATGACTCCTTACGAATTATTACAAGTCAAAAATCCATTAAAAACTCAACGTTCCACGTGCCTCAGCTTAGCAATACAAGACACTGCAGAAAACCATCTGGTTTTGTTTGTTTGTTTTTGTTTTTTCATGATAGCAGGGATGACAGGGTGCTGGGGCCAGCGTATTTTCCCAAGAAAACATTGTACCACAAACTGCTAGTCTGTAGAAAGCTTAAAACTCATAGTTTTAAGTATGGTTCATATTAGTAAAGATTTTCTAGAGGAGGGAAGAGATTTGCATGTGTGTTTGCGTTCGGTGTGTGCATGTT